GTTCAGCCTTGATTGCAAGCTAAAAATTCTTCATCAGTAACTTAAAACATTTTAACAATGTCTTGTATATCAAACACAAGTCAGTGAAGAAATGCTACATAAGCTGCAAGGACACAAATGCAGTGCTAGTCTTAACAAACAAAACCTCCTTAGCCTTAGCAATGCCAGTAATCCATTTCCAGTTCATACTCCTTCACTAAAGCTCAAAACATTTTTCAAAGTTTGATTTCAAACATTCACAAAGCCTCGAAGCAATTTCTTTATTGTATAAAAAGTGCTTTAATGCATCAAACATTCAAGCAAAGTATTTAGGAAAAAATACATTTCACTATTTCCATTTTATCAACAATTAAAAAAAATAAAATTAGATGATCTTTAAAATATTTATACATATTAAAAAAATAAAATCTATTGCCTTATTCCTCCTTGAGCGCATAGGTGACATCGTCCTGGCTGATATTTAGTCGCACTCGCATGTGCAGATACTTATTACTGGATTCCACCAGCAAGAGCCTGCAGGCACCAAGTCTGAAAGAAATTGCCATAATTTCTGACACTGTAGGACTCCGCATGCCTTCAACTCTACACAGTGCTGTGTGTTGGTGATAGACCTGTTGAAACAATTAAAAAAAGAGAGAGAGAAAAGGACACGGGTCACATTTACGTCCTGCTGCAGTGAGGTCATGGTGAAAAAGAGAAGCCTCCTCCCCTCCACACCTATAGCAGGGGAGGAAACTTGAGCTCCAGTCTGCTTGGATGAAATGCAGATGTGGTGCTGCTGCTGTTCTAGCACAGACTATTAGGACTTTGTCAAGGAAGTAACAATTCCAGGCTACAGGTTTCTTTTTTATATAGCCAAGAAGGAAAACAATTGGCAACCTACCTCATCTGCAGTTTTGAAACTACATTTTATCTGTTACTGCACCTCTTGTCCCCTGACTATGTGGACTAAAGCTTTTTCAGAAGATTAATACCTGACATACAACTAATTACTTATCAATCCACTCAGAAGTGATATTCAGGCCTGGTGATGAGTAAGCAGGAGTCCCACTGACTACAGGCATGGAAGATGACAGCTTAGAAAGGCATGACACACCTCAAACACCAGAGAACACACTGGGCACAAATCACAGACTGCTAAATCTCTAACAAGAATCACTTGGGATGTTCTACTTTACCATTTCAGAAAAGCAGAGGGAAATCCTTTGGTGCTAGAGGAAAACTAAGAGAAAAAATATAACCAGTCTAACAAAATACTCTTTGAAGTTCAAGATCCAATCACCCAGTGTATCTGGGAAACCACCTGATGCAGATGTTCAGGAGCCAAAAATGGAAAATTAAATAAAAAAAACCTTACTTACAAACCCACAGAACCAGATAAAACAGTAAGGTTATTTTACATATAAATATATAGTTCTAAACATTTCTGTTTTAAAATTTAGCATGAAATGGACCGTGTGGAGACTTCACAGCTCTGCTGGTGCCAAGTATTTTATAAGTCTACTAAAAAAATGAAGCTACTAGTGACATGCTTGTCTCTTTTGAAAAAGAAATTGATACAGAAGATGGAATCAACTTTCAGTTTTCCTCCTTGAAATATGTTGCTTGATATTTTCAGGATCCCTTTTACTTTTCTTGTTATAGAGCATGTTAAGTGAAGGCACATAGTACAGATGCAGCCCAAAAAAAAAAAACAAATTCACTTTGTGACTGGTAACATTAATACAAGTGTTTCTAATTCTAAGTACTTAGTTCCATTGAAAAACAGGTGGTAGCATTCAATGAGACTTTACAGACAGCCTGGTCAGCACTGCCCCAAGTTTACCTTGCCCCCGTACTGTCTTCCATCAAATTTTAAGAACAACCCCCCCATATATTTAAATATTTACACTTTTGCCAGATAATTTTGACAGTGGCCCACTCTTTAAGAGGAAAGAAAAAGTACCCTGAAAGACAAACATACCTGTTGAACTGTTGCCTCCTCAACTCCTGCCCTACGGAACTCTGCTAAAATTGCTTTCAAAAAGATTTGTTCATGCAGTGAGGCATTAGAAGAACAAAACAAAACAGATAAAGATCAGTTTGCAATGTTTAGAACTTATGAAATATCAGGAAGAAGTCTAGAAAGGAAATTGTTCGGTAACCATGCATTTAAATTCAAGGTATTTTTCTACCCAAGTTGGGTATTTATGTCAGCTAGCCACTATAACACTGCTTGCAACTCAGACACCATAATATGCTGCATTTCACTTCATCTCACCTCACTTTCAGTGTATCTGAAGGGAATGTTTCATTCCATACACCACACATGCTCTGCAATGTGCTGTGGCCACATTTATGAATTAACAAAGCAGCATTGAGGTTTTCAGGCCCAAGGCACAGTGAAAGCAGTATTTCCATACCCACAAAATACTGTGTTTGGACCACTTAATCCCTCCTTCCCTGCTGAAACCAATTATCCTCCTTTTGACTTTAAACTGGTATAGCACTTCACCAGTCACATCTTGTGCAGATCACTGAAGGGCAACATATTTCCATTAGGAAACCTTTTGGAAGTCCTAACAGAATCTATTTACGTTAAAGAAGCCAGTTCAAGTGGGAAATTCTCACATTCTGCTCAAGACCTTTGTGGCTGCATGTGAGCAAACAAAGACAGTGGCAGAATACAAGTGGATGTGTAGAGGAAAATACTTGACTCTTGAGGACCTGGTGTCCACATTGCACATCCAAGTGGTTTTTCCTTCAGTCTAACTCAAAGTCTGGTCCAGTATGCTGTATAACCAATAGTGTTTTCAGCTGTGGGCTCCTGAATGCATCTTCCAGACTTGGTTTCAGCTGGAACTCAAATATATGTACTTGGAAACAGCTGTGCAGTGAAATCCACATACAGTGAGCAGGAGCAACCAGGATTCAAAAGCCCCCTCCTGATCTGAGCTAACACACTAACATGGAAACATGCTGTATAAACTTGTACAAGTGACTTCTACGCCTTTGTTTCTCCTGTATTTAATGCCTATTTTGCACCCCTCTCTCCTAGCTGTGCTGCAAGGTTTGTTTTGCATTGCACAACAAAACATGATGCATCACGTGTGCTCCCAAAGGGTGGTGAGGACAGACTGAACATGTTTGAAAAGACAGCCCCATGAAAAAGACATAAAACCAAAAGACAATCCTCTGAGGAATGTTTTTACCTGATTGCATTTATATATGGTGATGAAAACATTTCGTCTATGGCTTCTGTTATGTGGGCCATCCTGACTATTCTGGAGGTTCTCTTTTGGCTAGCAAACTCACAGATCTCAGTGGCCCTTCTGCAGATATCAAGGCAACGCCTTGCATCACCAGACAGTGCTGCAACCTGAAAGTAAACGTAGGAGATATTGCTACCAGCCTGTCACAAGTTGAGAAAAGTTTGACAACAATCAATAGACCAAGAAAAAAAAAAAAAAATCAACAACCCAACCACAAAACAGGACAGCAATTCTACTGTAACTTTTCCTAGAACCCCAAATTTTAGGTTACAATCTTATTGACCAAAACCAGCAAGAAGCAACCCTTCTACACCCTGGCCCTGATCTGGTCATCACAAATTCAAGACTGAACTTTTTTTCTAGAACTACAGAAGTTAGAGGTGAAAAAAAAAAAAAAGAAATCACCACAGGAAATTCCATGTGAGCAGTTGAGTTCAACATCAAAAGTTTTCAGAAATATTATCAATAAAGATCCTACAACAATTCAGGTTCATGCAAAGGAAAAAAAAGGGAGAAGGCAAAAAGGTCTTCAATAGAATATTGATTAAGAGTACAGTAATGTTTTTTAGCAGTTCTCAAAGGAGCCTAGGATAGTGAGTTTATGTTTACAAATGCCTGAAAATTTTTAGGTGTCTAAAATTCCTGAAAAGAAATACTTCTTAACACACCAATTCTGGTTTAAAATTTTAATAAAGCTATGAAGATTTACTAGATGCTGATAATATATGAAAGCCCTAGAACCAGCTAGAGCCAAGAATGAGAAACACCTCAGAAGAATCTAATTGCAACTTATTTTTCTAGAGATTCTGAAGTTCTGCTAGAACACCATCACAGATTAGTCAGTCTGCAAAATCATCACTATTATCCTTACACAATGGTGGTTCCTTCATAACAAATGTTTTTCACTTGTGACATTTACGATCACTCTCTTAATTCTGTAATGATGCTTAGCAGAAAAAGTTTAAGCATATACAGGTTGGCAGATGTTATACATTAAAATAATCTATTAAAATTGTTATAATTGCTAACAAAACTTTTAACAATGCATGTATCTTCATTTGAAATGCTCCTGGTATCTAATGCATTATTTCCTTTTTGTACAAACTGAGTATTAAAACTGCCAACAGAACAGGTGCTATCTATTATGCCAAGGATTTAAACATCTTAAGAAAATTAATATGGATATTTCCACTGCCACTGGCATGCTTTTTTTTCAGGATCATCCAATCACTCACATTATGCCAAACACTGGAGAAAGCTGACATCTTATCATTATGCATCATCACAGTTCTTGTTGTCATGCCTCCAGCTCTCAGAATATACTGCCGCCTTCTCAAAGTAGGTGGAAAAAAAGCAAGGATGCTCCTTTTGCAATGTTTCCTGTGAAAATACCCTTTCTACCTTACAGAGGATAATATATGATCCAGTGCTTGCACCCCACTTGTCTCCCATACAGAACACAGAACCCATTCTTCACCTAGCGTGACACAAAGGTCCTGTGCTTACCTTTCTGCAGACAAGCTGAATTGCATCCTCCTCAAATGCCTCCACGCTGCTCAGTCTGGAGGAAATAATTTGCTGTAACTGTTTGTAGGTGTAGGGCTGAAAGGACATTCTGGTGAGGCCCTGCAATAAATAATACAACACAATGAGGAGTGTTTGTAGTGCTTGAAAACTGCCTGTATTTTATTTTCTCTGGTAGCAGCAATCTCTCTCACATCCCCCCCCCTCTGAGTGATACACTTCAAACAAGTCTTCCACTACCTATTTGTGAAATGAACATGCAAATCCACAGAACTGTGACTAAGGAAGGACCACTTGTTGGACCACCCCACTGAAAAGCCTGAAGGGCAAGCACAGTTGCTACTAGAGTTCAAATTTCTCTTACAAAAACTTGTAAACAAATTAAAGCCACCTAATACAAAAATATTTTTATTAGAACCATTTACATTCCCCCCCCCCCATTTCCAGAGGCTATGGAAAAAAATACTCATCTCTGTCCTTTAGAAAATCTGTATACACGTATATAGTCAAACTGCTGACTTCATATGGGCAATCAGCAAAGAATTAAAAATCCTCTTTTGGCTCAAGGCAATAAAAACTGCTCTCAGATAAGGAGGACACTCTACATTATACATAGTGCACTGCCTTTTATATTCTACAGGAGGCCTGAGTTTTGCATTTCTTAGGCAAAATTCTTCTCTCTTGTGACCATATGGACTCAGCTGATCAGCAGGTGGGGGAAAAAATTCACACCCCGTGGAACTATTTTTGAGTTGCAGAAGGAAGGAGGCACAGAGCCCTGTTTTTGCAAATCACTTTTCAGAGCAGTGATGAAGAGATGACCTAGGAAAGTATCTTCAACACAGGAGTGCATCCAACTTTCTGTCCAAAGGGATCCAACAAAGAAAATCTACCAGCTCATGATGGAAAACGGGGAGAAGTAACCAGGTGACTGGAAAGAAAGGGGAAAGAGGAAGGGAAAGCCAAAGAGAATTCTTCTGAACTCTAGAGTAAACAGCTTAACCCTGAAGCACAGTGTTTGATTATCCAAATCTTAATATGTTTAAAAAGACATCTGCATTAATTCATTCCTACAAGAACACAGTGTACTTGCACAGCGTAACATTTGATTAGCAAGCTGGCTCCTAAACTTTGCTAAGATTTATATGCTCATCATTGGCCCTCTGGAGAGGGAATTATAAAAAGCATTGTTCAGCCTCTGATGTAACCAATCTGACCTTTCTCCTGAATTACTTTTGACTGCTTACAGTATTTATTCTGTTCACATTTCATAGCATAGCAACAAAACATACCAGCCTGCTAGCGACTCTGCTCATCATTATCCTTTCTGGCAAGTCCATGGTGTTAGCAATGGCCAAGATGATTAACTTGGAGTGCTTCTGAGTAGGCCAGTCAAATAAATTGTACATCACATTCTGTTTCCGGGTCCACAGAAGATCAAGCTGCAGAGACAGGAAGAGAAAAGTAAGGCTGAAAAAGAATGGCTTTGCTGTTTACAAGCCCTGATGGGTGTCAGAGAGCTAGCTCTGCCACAGAAGACTTCTTCCGTGATGCTGAACAAGCTGCCTCTGTTGTGCTTCCTTTACCCTTCCACTAATAGGACTGATTTTTCTGAATTAGGGCTCTAATCTCTTTTGGAAAAGCACAGTCCTATTAGATGTTTCAACAGTATTAATCACAGCAGAGTGGTTACACAGCTGGAGATTTTAAACACTACTGCAACATTAATACTACATCTAATAAGATTAAAAGACCCTCCATGTGAAAGCCTGAATTATCTTACAGAAAAAAACAAGTGTGCATTTGTTTATTAGTGAACATAGCAGGTTCAAGGAGTTTCAGAACTGGGTATGACTTTTTTCACTAAGTTTTTTCACTGGAAAAGCTGCAGCTTCCAGACAAAACAGTTGAATTCTGACTTGACAGAAAAACTCATTCTATGACTTGGATCAAAACAAAACATAAGCACAATTTTAAATCCAAGCAGAGAACAATATGGCAACAGGATACTTGCCCATTTAAATTCAGTTTTCTAATAAGGCTAAGAGGAACTATTTGTGTCTTCTCTCCTAAGTCTGTTCCTTTTGGACCACATAAAACATACTGCATATGCAATTTGTCTTTTTCCATCCTCAGAAAGCTAATTTCATACAATGCTTCATGGAAAGAGAATGAAGGATTCTTTGCCTCACCTCATCCACTACCAGCACTGTGGTCTTCCTCTTTGGTCCAGGTGTACTGAACAGTTTCGCCAAGAGCACTGCAGCATGGGTTGCTGTCACCTTCTGACCTGTCAGAAACTGGAGAAGGATTAAAAAATGTTGCAGGTTAACCACATCCAAATCCTAGAAATAGGAGCTTTAACTCTTATTCTTTTACCTTTTCTCCAACAATCAACACCAAGCACCTGGATTTTTTTTCACCATTGAGGGGGGGACTCAAAAATACCAAGGAGCTCACAAGACACTCAGGTCTACCAGAAACTGTCCATAAGAGAACAGAAACAAAAGAATACATATCCCTAAGGAAAGGCCATTAGAATTTCCTGCAATTTGTCTTAAATATAGATTCATTAAGAAATCCTCAACCCAGTCTCAGGAGGACTCTTAAAGCTAATGTACCTCAAGGATGTCTCTGAATGCAAAACACCTACTGAAAACCTAGGTCAGTTGACAAAAGCCTGATTCCAGTGATCTTGGACACCCATCAATATTTTAATGTGTCAGCAACAGGATCTAAGACTTTATTAAAATCTAGGCTGAAAAAAAAAAAAAAAAACCACCTTCAACAAGAACTGCTTCTGCAATAATCTGTGGCAAAACAGCTGAGCTGACTGTACATTACCTCTGCTCTTGCAGGTCCAAATATATACAGAAATTATAACATGATATTTCAAAATTACACTATATATGCTGAATCAATTGTTCAACACAGTTCAGAAGCAAGCCTTAAAGTAAAATAGATTGCATTTGAAAAGGGTATTTACTCTCCAGAATCCCTTAAAAACTGACCCAAGATTTCATAATCATTAAACAAGCTGGAGCATTACAATAATACTTATGCTACACTTGTTTCTGAATCAGTCACATAAAGCAGTTGGACCCCAGAAGGTCCTGATTCTGCAACTCTGAAAAAAAGCATCCAATATACCATAGAGTTCAGTTTGTGGTAGAATTGGCACACTTATTATACCCATGTATTTAACCTTCTCTCTCTCTCTCTCTCTCTCTCTCATGTCAGCAGGCCTTCCTGTCCCTGTTCCTTCCCTCCTGCAACCTCTCCTATGACAGTGAGGTAACTGCTGTAGTGCCCACTCCAGAATTTGCTCAGTCACACAAAAAAAGCCAGCACGCTGGTGCTTGAGACTGACCCACAGCAAGAGATGCAGCACTCAGAAAAGTAGCAGCAGCCTAGCTAGGGTATCTGGGGGACACCTGAGACAGAAGGAAACAGAGAAATAAGCAGTTCATTTGACTACGTGCTCCCTCTGAAGGATATTTAATTGGGCTAGCTTAAAGAGTTCATAGCCCATAGGGCACCACATTTTACTTCCAAAGGCTTAACCTTTATTAATTTGAAAATTTAATGCTGAACAGGAAAGTAACAAAGTGTTAAAATACATTAACATTACCATAAAATAAGGTAATTGTCATGAAGCTTTTCAAGTATGGTAAAGAAACAGTGACTTGGCTACTACAAACCCCTCACACCAGGACACTTACTATACTTTTGAGAAAAGGGTGAAAATATGTGAATTTAACTCCAAACTATGAGGATAGGGATATTAGAACAATGTTTGCCATTTCCTCCTGAGATAGATGTCAAACTTAAAACGGAGCAGAAGTTTATAAGAAAATGGAACAGATGCTTCAGGAAATCATCACTTCATTTCCAAGTCACTGGCTTAAAGTTAGCCTAGACTGACAGAAGTCTTGAGCAGTTCCTGTCTAATGCCTATTGGATAATCTTAATCTTGTCCTCAGAACATTAATTCACACCCTTACAAATGCAAGCACAGTCAGCAGTCCTGCATGGGACACTGCAGGCTAGTTTGTCATGGAAAACTCTAATACAGTGTTGTTGAGAGACCATCCCTCTTTAGCTACATTGCTATGATGACAGACCAATCAACCATGAAGACCCACATGGTAACTATTCTATTGCTACAACTGACTTCCAAAGTTGTCATCTCAGTAATATTTTAAGTGTACATGTGCAGGAAAATTTATAGAAGGTGAAAATATAGAAAGAATCTAGTTTAGATATTCCTTTTAAAACCCAAGTGGATGTAATAAATCAGGGTATTTCCCAGCCACTGCCCTTATGCAGCTGAAACCAAACAGTTCAAGAAGTTGGCCATGGCCTTAAGTGAATTATTTTTAAACTGCTCTAAGATAAAATCATACAGTCTCTTAGAGGGACTGCCTGCAAGTATTGATTTAAGTGCCTTAATACTGTACCACATCGAGGGTCTGATGGTAAAGCAGATCTCTTCTTTCAAACCAGAGCCACTGAGGAGGCTTTACTCACCTCCAGTATCTGCACATAAGCCTGGTGAGGGTCAGTCAGCTTCATGCCATTGATCTCCACAAACTGGAAGGATGGTACTTCATCCTTCTCTGCAGCCTCCTGAAGAGAACGAATTACCTCATGAACAGTTGCAGTTTTACCTGTTCCAGGCACTCCAGAAATGTACATGCACCTACAAAAGGAGAGCAGGAGAACATGTTTTCAGCAGCCTGAGCAGAATAATAACACTCCTAAGATTAATGATCTGAAATTCCTGGGCCCTGAGACCACCTCCTCTGTCACATCAGGCAATTCCCTATGTTTCAGTTACTTTACTGGCAAATTGGGACATGTAACACATTGGAGGATCATAAGCATTTTTATTATCACTGAAGCAATTAACAACCTAAAATACTTCATAAATGCAATTTATCTCTTTTTGAAAAAAGATCCTGTTTTCCCAGATATCTAAAACTGACTAGTTTTATTTTGGTTTTTGATTTGAATCTGTACAATTAGCCCACATTATTTCCACACACAACCCTTCTTAAGGAAGAAAAAACCAGGAAAATTCAATTAGCAATTTTAACTCAGCCAAATGATGATAAACTCTTAAAAATAAAAGTAGAGTTGACTGTCTCACTGCTGTTAGGCCATAGGTAGATGTGATCTCAGTTACTCACCCTCCTGTACCATCAATAAGTTTGCTTTCCACAAAGTTATAGATATCCTGGAATTCTTCTTCCCGACAAGGTAGAGATTCTGGGACAGCAGAAACATGCAGCCTTTTGATTAAAAAAAAAATAAAAAGAAAGTTGAAATGGGAAATAGGATTGAAATTGAAACAGGACTGAACAGTCCTCTTCATAAACAAACAGCATGAATATGCAGCAATAAAGATCTAGCTGTCTTAATTCATAAAAAAGTCAGTGTAGAGGTGGGATGAAACAGAGTCTGCTTACAGGAAACCAAAAAAACTAAAACTCATTTTGAAAGAGAGTCAGTCCTAGACTGAATTATTTTTCCACTGTGAAGATCTACAAATATAACTGTAAAGCTTTTTCACATACCTAGAGGAGACAGATACAGTACTTTTACAATTTAAAGCTAACAAGAGAGAATCTTTGTTTTCCTAATCATGCACAGGATAAAAACATACCTAAATCTGAAGAACTTAACATGGACTGGTTAAAATAATTTGAAATTGTAAAAGTAGCATTATAAATACTACTAGTATTTGTAAATTTAGCACTGTACTATAAATTCATAATTGCTCTTTTGGTATGCAAACAACACTTTTTCAGCCAAGTTTATTCAATATGGTAAAGATGACAGTTCCCTGTTTCAGCATACCCTACTGCTCTACATTCCTGATGCAAAAAGGTGATTCCCTCCCTTGAGCACACACTACCTTAATCTGGCTTCTTCCAGGACACTGGCTGGTTTCTGTGCTGCGTGGCTGCGCCTGGGGATTTCGGGAGTCGCGTTCCGGGGTGTCTTGGGTGTTCCTGGGAAAGGCTGCAAAGAAAAGTTACAGCCTCAAACAGATTTTCCACACAGAGCAACTTCTGCTGGGGAGTGATCGTTTGCACGAGTTCCCCAAATATTACTTGTGCACAGAGACTACTCAGGGATACCAGAATATAAGATGAACAGAGAACCGGCCTTTACAAAGGGCCTCACCAAACTAGCCTTACGGCCTTTTCTGCCCAAAGGAAGAAAGTGGAAAGGGGGTGATGGCAAAGACAAATACACTTTTTAACTGTCTGAAGAATTTTTATATTATTACTGCTTGCCTGAAGTGCTGCATTACAAAGCAATAAGATTCTTAAACAGCAGGCAAGTAGAAATTGATCTACCTGAATTTCATTGCCCAAACAAAGAAGCCATATGTTGTCTTTAATTATTTTAATTACCTTAATTACTACTCTTTGTTGTGCTTACAAGTTCTAGTTACACCAGATTTTCTGTGTTAGACATTCCATAAACAGAGGAAAAATTACTCATTGACAGTAGGTACCTGGCTGTGGTGCTGCACACAGTCTTAACGAGTTAGGCCTAAGATTCACGTGGTCTGGAATCCCACCTCCATCAGCAGCCAGGACACTATCAGAAGCTGCTGGCCACACTCCTTGGTGTGGCCAGGAACACTGTGGAGCATCCCTTTTGCATTGGTAACCATCTGCACATTGGTAAGCTTTCAAGAATCAGGACAGTTGCACTGCCAAGCACAAAGTTGGTCCTATGGCTTCCTGCTATAATACACATACTGCACTCAATAAAGACCACACAGAAATAGCACTAAAATGTCTCAGTGCACAGCTTAAAATAGAAGTAAAAAGGGTGCCCATAAATGGATTCATGTTTGGTTCCAGCCCAATCCAACATCTCCCCTGATTAGGCTAGAGTTTTCTGCTCATCTTTGTCACAGCATTCACAATATGCAACTGTTTATACATTCACATACCCCACTTATATCAAAGATCATATGAATCAAGATACTGTTCTATCAAAAGCCACAGGGTCCCTATATTAAACCATGGTACACAGGAATCAAGCATTCAAATAAGCTCAGAGACAGCAAACCCAGCCCTTTTATATGGAACCTTACAGTTTTCTTCGGGGTCTTAGCAGGAGTGTGAACTGAAGACTTCCTTGAAGATTTTGGTGTGCTGAATATTCTTTTTGAATTACTTTTCTTTTCTGGCGTACTGAGCACATCATCCTCTTCCTCACTATCTGAAGTGTAATTGCTGTCAGAGCTACTCAGAAAATGCTCTTCCTGATTCAAATCCAGTGTATTTAATATGCTATGAGAAAAAAATTACATTTAAAAAAATACAAAAAAAATTCTGCACACTAGTATCATTTGTAAATTTTCTGCTTTTCTGTAATCATAATCAGCAAGCCAACATATTTTCCACTTAAGCTTCTAATGTTCCATGGCTATTTTAACAGGCTGGTTTCAAGGAAGTCAGTTTTCTGACGAGCATCACGAGTTGGCCTTATGTTTCTGAACACAAGACAGTTTTCATTCACACTACAATTAAGCTGTGCTTCTAGAATCATCTGCATTTCAATATTAAAATAGACAAACTCTCAAGGCTCTAAGCTATTCAAGAGCAATCTGAATAAGGCATCACAAAACTGTACCTCACTTGCTCTGCAATGCGGGCGCTCGTTTCCCGCACACACGTTCTACGAGAACGAGGGGTCAGTATAAGGGTCTGACCATCCAGATCCTGATGCCCGGTTAAACTGTAAAGAAAGAACACAAGAAGTTATTTGCATTTCCTCTTAACGTCCCACTTATAAAGACAGAGAGATGGTCTTTCAAATTCCAGGCTCAGTTGTTACGGCTGTCAGTCCAGCATGAATTCTCATTTACAGTTATCTACAGATTGGCTATGGCACAGATACTAGCAGCAAAATTCTTCCTCTCTTGCACTCTCTTCAATGCATCCTTGCCAAAAAAACCCAACACAAAACACAAATCTACTATAGTTCGTTCATGGTCTGTACTGTAAAGATTATTACAGTAAAGTGTGTTTCTAAAAAGCTTTATGAAGTCGTTGAGGAAAGCTGCTAGGTCCAAAGGAGAGCCCAAGTCCCTGCAAGTCAGCGTTGCCAGCAGAGACTGCACCAGTTCAAAACTGATCACTCCAGCTCTGGCATCATCAACATTACACCTCTTGATTCCTCATGCACCCTCACAGTTACTCCACACGGACTTACAGTTGCTGCACCTTAACTGCTTCCCCTCACCTCCCCAGTCAGACACCTGCACATCAGTCCAGGGCACTGAATAGATGCCAACAGAGTTGAATTAGCAGCCAAATTATTTTGAAAAATACTTTAAAAAAACACCTGAAGGGATAGGGGCTCAACACAGTAGTGCCTTTCGTTTGGTTGTGTGCTTTTGTTGTTAATTTTTTTTTTTTCCCCTTAAAAGAAAACCCAAGATTTTATTAGCGCTTCTCTTTGACGTGTCCTTTGGAGTATACTCTTCTATTTTTCTATTCACATCAACCTCCTGTTCCTATTTTCCAGCTCCTCCCTGTTCTTGTAATCACAAACTGCTCGTATTCATCGTTAAAGTCAGCTCCTCCTATGATGTCCTCAATCATTCATTCACCTCAAAGTAACACAATATCTGGAGCTTCCCCACAGTGCACTTTGAACTATTTATGCTACATCCCCCTTCCCTAAGTGACCTCAGCAGGTGAAACATGGCACACACGGGGACTTCACCTCCTCTTCTCTCCACAAGCCTTTCATATATCTGCTTTGAGAGAGTTACATACAAACAGAAATCCCACATAAAAGTAATTATCAACCAGCTATCACTTACGACAGGGTGTCATCTCTCACATGAAGATTCTTGGCTTTCTCACTGGAGTCTTTGGCCTTACTATAGGGGGACAAGCGAATGGTGTCACTGAAGCTCTGCCGTCGCTTCGCCGCGTCAGACGCCGACTTGGACCTGTCGTTGGCACAAGGGATTTTTGGTGGGGAGCCCAAAATGCCAGTGAACTGCACTTTTCTTTTAGTAGTTGATGGTTCTAATGGTGCTATAGCATCACAATCCTCATCCAAAAGTTCCAAAACTTCACAACCCTGGAGCCTGCTTTTAGATCTTGTGGGACCTAGGAATCAAGAGTGAAATGGACATTTGTCAGGCTGGTTTGGTTAACTTTCAGAAGACACTGTATGGCTGGCTCAGTGGCCAGCATTTAAACGAAAGGGGAAGGCATTACCCTCCAGAAACAAGGAACCAGAAAGATACAGAAGGCACACACTTGCTCTAGAAAGATGACTAAATAAAATACAAACTGATTTTTTGTTTTCTAACCCTCCTTCATCACAACTTCAGTCAAGCTCCAGTCTGAAAATATGTTACATAGGATCAAATGTGCTTATTCCACCAGCACAATGTAAGCATTCTAGTGCACCATTAGTCAGAAGATTAAAGAAAGTGAGACACTCTGAGGTCAGGTTAGTGTGACTGGTAGCATTTCAGCCAACAAGCATTCTAAATTAGACTTAGCAGTTATAAATAAAATATTTGGAACTGCAGTTGGATATAAGCAGTACAGCTGCTTGAAATAACAGACATAAGAAACAACGAGTATGCCCAAAAGCCTTGGGCTAACCCTGAAGCCTGAGGAAGGCAGCTAAAAATACCAACGTTGAATGTTACCATCGTTTGAAGCACCCAAAATGAAGAGGCACAAAACACATTACACCCAAAACTACCCAGCAGACAGGATGTGGCCATATGCTTACTGTTCAAGTCTAACTTCTTCCTTGCTGTTGGAGTTTTGATGCCATTAGCCACCCTTTGGGACTGCCTCTCCTTAGCGAGGGAGGACTTTGAAGCCGAATGTTTCGATTCTATTTCCAGCTCCCCATTTTTTGGCTTCGTGGCACTCCGAACACTCTCTGTCCCTTTCTTTAGGGGGGAAAGTGTGTCCAAAGGAATAACTGAGTTTGACAAGCCACTGCCTTTCTTGTTAGCGTCCTTCAGCTTAGAGAATATGTCAGGGGGCAAAGCCTTAAAGCATTTCCCATCCCAGGACTGTTTTACATAAAAAGTTTGTTCCTTGTTTAATGTAATAGGTAGTTCCTCCCCTGGATGTAGTGGTATTACCTGTGAAAACAGAAAACACCAAAACACACACACCTTAGCATATACTGTTAATTTAATTTAGCACTCAGCTGTCAACTATTATCTATTTTTCATTCACAGAACTTATTACTGGAACTCGTGCAACCCTTCCTTATAGTGGGCAATACCTTCAACTAAATTTACAGTGTCTTAAGTTTCCTGTGCTACAGGGTTCCCATTCACATTACTTCTTTCCATGTAAACCTCTAAACGAGCTGGCTGCCAACAACCTAAGCCATTTTGGGATGAAGGAAAGAGAGAATATCAAGTGTTTCCAACTATACTGTCCTGTGTTAACTACAATAACAAATACAGAGCACACATCTGGTTTGGAAGGGAATAAGGGAGCTGCACTCTTCTGTTATGCTTTTCAGATTGCTTCTGTTTCTCACCCCATGTGAAGAGGGGTTCCAGTACTTACTCTGATGCTTTTAATAATGGTCTCCACAGCTATATCAGTGTCATAGCCAGAAACTTGATCAAAAAACACCTCCTGGGGAGAAACTTCTCTTTTAAGCAGCTTCCGTTTATTCAGAGGTATCTCTGTAATATGAGAGAACCACTGCACAACTGCATGTTTCTGTTGAGCACCTGCAGAAGTGAAAAAAAGTCAGTGAACATCAGCTATTTATTTGTGACACAGTAAAATCCTTAACACCAGACCTCAATGACTTCAGCTGAAACACCATCAAGGCCAGAAATCCTCCCTGGACCCAGGTGAGAGAACATTTGTTACCAGATTACAATTCTTGTTTTCTAAGCTAAATTGTTTGAATTGAGACTTTTTAAGGATTAAAATAACACCTACATTGGGTCTCAACCACAACATACTGTGAGACCAGCTCCAGACTGCCAGTTAATTATCACAAATGATTAGGTTCCTTGTTTGCATGGATGTGATGTAACTGAACCCCGCTAACCAAAAGCAGTGACATAAAAGGAGAACTGAGAAATTTCAGAACCTTGTCTGTCACACCAATGTTATTTTAAAAGTCAGAAACATGTTTATTCACTGCCTAATAAACCAGAGAATCCTACTGCTGAATGTCTAGAAGAAAGTCTGCATAAATACTACAAACAGTGTGTGGAGAGTTAAAAGAAACGTCTGGAATATATTACAATTTAAGTTACTCTCTACATTTTAAGGTGTTCAGCTTTGAATGAAAACAAAACCACATATCCTTAATAAGTCCTTAACAAAGATACAATGAAAGGAAAACCTTGTTTTCCAGGAAATTTCATGGGTTTCATTCCAGCATGAAAATAATCTCCATAATATTTATGTTACAATAAATGTGCACTAATAGTAAGCTGGAGCAACATGTTTTAAAAAAGCATATTTTTAAAACCCTCAAAACATTCTTGTGATGGCCAAAAACAAAGAACAAAAGCTGCTCCATGAAATTAGACATAGGTAATGAATAGCTGCTAATTCAGACTCAGTCTTTGTATCACTCACCTTCCATAACTCATCTTTTCATATCTACCTCTACCGAGGAGCAAGTAGTTCTAAATGGAACAGAAGTCTGAGTCCCATTTATTCAGCCTCGTACCTAATTACTAAACTACCTGATGACTATTAAGATGAGAGTTTCAGGGCTGCAGTGCTTTTGCTCCATTTGGATTCCCCAATCTCTAAATAAAGCATGAGCTCACACTATCTTCCTCAAGGATCATTTCTTTTAAATTAGACAAGTAAGCAAGAAGATTATAAGAATTTAATGTCTAAGATCTTTGTTTATGCACCAAATTCAGCTGGTTAGCCATCAGCTGCAGTTTCTTGGGGAGCACATGAATATAAGTGCAGTGACTACCAAAGCAAGCCCAATTTCCTTAACAAACTAGGCCAGTGCTAACTACACCCCTGTGAAAAGGTAACTTTAAAACATTTTAAGGTTTCTCAAAGAGAAAGTAAACAAGCCCAAATTCTTTAACAAACTAGGCCAGTGATACAGCAATAATGCTAACTACACCCCTGTGAAAAGGTAACTTTAAAACATTTTAAGGTTTCTCAAAGAGAAAGTAAATTTTTATTTCTCTTACCATCTTCATACAAATCCAGGAGTTGTGCCACAAAAGGCTGATCTGCATTCTCCCCTTCCACTAAAATATAGTCACCAAGCTGTACACGACTTTCTGTTCCGCTTCTTTCTGATGTAATAAGGACTCCCCTAGAAGGTGATAAACACATGCTGATTAACAGCATTTCATGATCTTCATGGTTCACATATCAGTAAAGCTGAAGGACTGCCACTTTTACAGCTAGTTACACCCCTTGCTGCAAAGCTTATCGTTTAGGTCCCTGAGTAAAAACTTTTATATGTATTTCAATCAGACAGCTAGCACATGCTCACAGGTTTAAATACCTTTGCTTAAGCATTATATAGTTTATAATTTAAGAACTTTGTCACAACATTAAATGTTTTACATATAGAGCATCATGACAAAACCTTACTCGTATTCTCACTCACTGCTCTGTTAACCCAAATGAGGTCAGAAAGGTAAAGAAACCTTCAATGACTTAAGTTTCCCTGACCAAGCCAGAGGTAAAGAAGCCAGTTATTTACTTGTACTGGGAAGTCCTCAGTTTTCTGTCCGAGCTCACGGGTTCCCCGTGCCAGGAGTAGATAACTTTGCTTCGCTGCCGGGTGTTCATGCTTCCCAAAGAAAAGCTAAAGCAAAAAAAAAA